TTTAAATCTTTTTGTAATTTAATACAATAATAAAAAGAATAATTAAAAAAAATAAATATTTTAGTGTCATCTGCAAGACTGCAAACAATAAGATATTTTAGTGCTTTAAAATCATATATGAATAATGAATATCATTTATAAATAATAGGAATATTGGTGAAAGATAGTCATGATGAGGAATATCTGAAAGAAATGTTTTAATTTAACTAGCTGGATTTTATTAATTAAATAAGAAGTAAGTTATGTAATTAGTGGGTCGTAGAATTCAATTTTTTTAGTTTATGTATAAATAAAAAATGTTCTACACTATCARACGACTTTTCGAAATCAGTAAAACCATATCCATTTGAAATCTAGCTGAAAAAGATGATAATATTGTGTTTCAATATGGTTAAATTGGTCATAGTAGATATCCTTTTTAAAAACCATGTTAGTGTTACAAAAAAAACTTATTATTATAAGAGAAATTATTTTTGGAAGTATAGAAATGTTTGAAATTAGAATACCCYAAAATTCCAACAAAATCCAACGAGCTACCAGAAATTAAACATTAAGTAGAAAATTAAAGTATTTTTAATAATCCAAAAGGTGTAGTGATGGCAGGCAAATAAAACAACACAAATTATAGTCAAATCAATACATTTCATCCATTGCTCCACTCAGAATCTAAAACTATATGTTTATTAAATAAAAATTACTATAATATGTTGTTTGATGTTTAAAATGTTTACAATTTAACCGGTTTCACTAGTAATTTAATATTTACAATTAGTAAATAAATACATTATCATTTATGTTTCAACCAGTCATATTTGTTTAAGTGATTTCTAGATAGGTATCTATTCTACATATTATATTATATTAACCTAGTTATTATAAATAGGTATGTAATTCATCAGATACATTAAAATTACACACCAATATAGTTGCATTAATTTTGAATTATATTTAATTCATGAAATCTATTAGATTAGATATTAATAATTTAAAACATACACAATACATACATTAGGTAATATAGAATAAATGTATAAAATAAAAATAAAAGGTATATTTAATGTATCTGATTCATTTAACACCTAATTATCATAATTCATAATCCATTAGAACTAGGTACTGTTCATCTCAATATTAGCTTCAATAAATATCAAAATGTATCAATCAAGGTATAGTACTTAACAAAATTCTTAATTTAAAATAAATAAAATATATATAGGTTTGTAGGAAGGTATTATTATTTTAGTAAAACAATTGAGATTAAATTGTTTTATAGCTATAGTTAGCACTATTTTGTTATATAGCCCACCCCA